GTTAGTATTTGCAAGGAACAGGCGGTTATCTGAGCATAGCTGCAACAGACGGTCGCCATTATCTGTTCTTTGAGCCACGACACCATAAGATCCACCTAGGTGTCTTTCCCTTTCGCTTAGTTTACCTACTTGAGCATTAAAGTCACCGGCCACTATTACTACATCCGAGCGCCTAGCTTTTCGGAGAAGGTCCGAAAGCTTTCTGTAAAACTCATCTTTTACATCATCTGAGCTGCAGTCAGTGGGAGAATAGGCAGAGACGACGAAGAGGCAACGACGAGTGTCCCTATCTTTCCGGATTCTTACTGTTCCGTTCAGTCGGACAGCGCACAAACGACTGTCTACTGGGATCCACTCTAAGAGAGCTAGTTCTGCCCTAGGACTCAATGCTATACCTACGCCGGCGAGGCCACGGGAAGCAGAATCAGGGCTTCCAGATACACGAAGCGTAAATCGAGTCGGTTCTTTATTTTGGCATGGTGAGGTCAAATGAATGACGCTACTCGGATCCTGTATGCGCGTTTCGGAGACGCAGCACACATCGATGGCGCGAGATTCTAAAGTTTTAGCTAAGGAAGCCTGCTGTCCTATTTGGCAAAGTGTTCGTACGTTAAAAGCTCCTACGTGTAGTTTAGAGCGTGGTTTCAGGAGACCAGGAATAGCGTTCTTCGTACTCGAATCGTTTGCCCTAGCGGTGCGAGGTGATAAGGAGAGGCGAGGAGGGTTAGTCATGGAGATAAGAGAAGTATTAGGAGGTGTAGGAAGGATTTGAATGTGACCAACTTGGTCTCGTGTGCTGTTACGGGTATGAGGGCTGATGTCTCTTCCCGGCTGCCCACACCGTGGAAGGGTATTTCTTGGGGAACCTGAAAAGGAAATTGGATTAGTGTTGGTGCTGCCTTGACGTGGTGGTTGGGCTTGCCTGTCGTTATGAACCAGTCGGGCTATACTGGCTGGAACAATCGTTCCTCAAGGTCCTACCATTCCAGGTACATCGGTCGAGGAGCGTTGAGACTAAAAGCAGCAAACCGAAGGTCCGAGAACGAAGTCGCACTACTGACCAGAGAGGTGTGACGGCAGTTAGGTGTTTCCCACAGACAACCAGCATGACAGCGATGCTGTCTTCCCACAAAGAAGGGCGGGGTTAGAAAAGGTTGACTCTAAAAAATGCACATCTCACCCTTATCCCACGCATTTCCGTCTCCGGTGGTAAGGTCTCAACAAGTACGAAGCTAGCACGAAAATTGCTCACAAAAGGGTCGCATGTGACCGGCTCTTCGATCAGCCAACAAATACATTGTTAATTATATGATGAAAAGATATAGATTAGTATTTTTTGCAATGATATTCATAATAAATCTCCCTCTTCAATTCCTTTTATTTCTCCTACCTTGACTTTCAATTCCAAACTTTCTCGTTTTATTTCTTCCTCAAGCGTCACCATCACTGACGATTCTAGTGCACGAAATATTGTCCCAGGTCTACTGAAACCTCGCTCCAAAATACACATTGAAGCCTTCAACGTATGCAACGTATGTCAAATCAACCAGCAGGCCTCCTTGGCTAAGACCCTAGAATCTCGTACGATTGATGTATGCTATGACTCCGAAACACACATTCAGGATCCTGATGTGGTCATTCACTTGACCTCCCCTCAGCAAAACGGAGAGCCGACGAGATAAATCCTCCGTGTATCTGGCTATCCAGTGGCAAATTCTCGTGGACTGGCGGTTGTAGGCATAGCACTAAGTATTAGGGCAGAACAAGCACTCTTAGAACAAATCTCTGTTAACAGTCGCTTGTGTGCTGTTCGGCTAGACGGCTCCGTAAGAACTCGGAAGGATAGAAATACACGTTGTTGCCTTTTCGTCGTTTCTATCTACGCTCTCACTGACTGCAGCCCGGATGAAGTGAAAGGTGAACTTTACAGAAACCATACTGAAATTCTTCAAAAACCTAAACACTCAGACATAGTACTCGTAGCAGCTGACTTTAATGCCTAAGTAGGTAGCTTAAACCAAAAAGAAAGACAATTAGGTGGGTATTTCGGTATTCCGGCTCAGCGAACAAATAATGGTGACCGCCTGCTGCAACTGCGCTCAGACAATCGTTTATTTTCAACAAGCACCAATTTCAAACATAAAGAGAGATATTGTCTAACAGGGCCACCCTCTTCACCAAACCAACGATGACCCCTATTGCCATCAGTCATCGTTGGAGAGGCTCGGTAGAAAACTGCCGCTCGTTCTGGAATACATTTTTAGGCTTTGATCATTCTCTAATAAGAGCACGTATTTAATTGCGCCTCAATGGACGCAGAAAAACCACATTAAGAAGACCCATTTGAGTCGAACTCAGCGATGAGAAAACCAAAGGTAAATTCCGTGAACAACTGAACTCACACTTGGTCAATTTCGAAAACGAGGGTGACCCAGATATTGCTTAGGAATATATACGAACATCTGTGGAAACAGCAGCGATAATCGTTGGTGATTTGAACCAAAATGTTACGGAAAACCATTGGATTTCTACTACATCCATTGTACTGATAGACTTTCATAAACCTATCCCATTAGGCTCTGAACACGATGATGAGCGAGAACAAATCAGATTTAGGTTGACCAAAAGTCTGCGGGACGATCATGAGCAGTGTTGGGCAACGAAAGCAAAAGAGATGGAAAAGGCGGCGACTATAGGGAACACAAGACAGCTCTACAGACCAACAAAAAACTGGAATTAAGAAGTCGTGTGAGTGAGACATCGGAAAAAGACAACACTCTTACTTACCCTCAGTCCAGACGTTTCTAACGATATATATATATATATATATATATATATATATATATATATATATATATATATATATATATATATATATATATATAAAGGATCAAAATTATCCTGTGATAACCATAGAGGGATTAGTTTAACTAATATAGTATCTAAAATACTAGCCTCTATAATTATCGGGCGCCTAACTAAGACTCGTGAACTGCAAACACGAGAAAATCAGGCTGGCTTCAGAACTAGCCGTGGCTGCATCGACCACATATTCACCATTCGTCAGGTTCTAGAACATAGGGATACTTATCGGCGTCCGACAATGATGGTCTTTCTTGACTTAAAAGCAGCATTTGACTCGGTAGACCGCGAGATTCTGTGGTAGTGTCTGTCATTGAAAGGCGTACCTCAGAAGTACATAAACCTTGTGAAGGCTCTTTACTCGAACACTACCAGTCGAGTTAGAGCTTATGGCGAACTGTCATCTACTTTTGCAACCTCAAGTGGTGTCCGTCAAGGCTGTCCACTTTAACTTCATCATAGATCTACTGATGGAAATAACATTCTCGTCTACTGAATTCTCGGGCATTGATCTCTATCCGGGAGGTCCACTTATCGACTTAGAATACGCAGATGACATAGTCCTGTTTGGTGAAGACGCTGATAAAATGCAGTCTTTTGATAGCATTAGGCAACAATACCAGGATGTTCGGAATGCGCTTCTCTTCCTCTAAATGCAAGTTGTTGCTTGAGAACTCGCTCGTGCTAACACCTGAAGTAAGGATAGGGAGTGAAGTAGTCAAGCGCGTCGGTAACTTCACTTATCTTGGGGATCTGATCAGCCCTAATGGGTTGGTGTCTGAGGAAATCTTATCACGGATTCAGAAAGCTCGTTTGGCGTTTGCCAACTTAAATCACCTATGGTGAAGGCGAGATATCTGTCTATCAATTAACGGACAAGTATACTGCCCGGCAGTTCGTTCTGTTTTACTTTACGGCTGCGAAACGTGGCCATTAAGAGTAGAAGACACTCGTAAGTTACTAGTCTTTGATCACATATGTCTTATAAATGTTGCTCGCATCTGGTGGGATCATCGGGTAAGTAATAGTGAGGTTAGACACAGGGTATTAAGGAATGATGATAAATCAGTTGATGAGGTTGTGAATCTTCATCGACTGAGATGGTTGGGCCACGTGTTACGTATGCCTGAACACCGGTTACCACGACGTGAAATGCTAACCGGGGTTGGAAGGAAGTTAGGGGTGGCCAAATCAAAACGTGGCATCATTCCTTGAAGTCAGTGACTTCTGGTCTGAGCTATGTTGGTAGATGCAGACTGCTTGGTTAGGGTCCACGCGACTATCGTAACCAATGTTTGGGGACTCTGGGTGATATGGGTCGGAATCGATCACGATGGAGTAGGTGTATACACTCTTTGTCTTCCCTTAAACCGAGAGATTAAAATTACTTCATACCTGTAATATGTCCTTATATACAATATTTCTTTTATATATTACTAACATAAAAGTAACTGCTTCTACGAATTTGGTGTTCATGTTGTTATGCTAATGAGGCATGGCAACGTAGACCGATGCATATATGTTCCTGGTCTGACGTTGTAGCTGACTGATTCAGATTCACGTGTCCTTTTTTAGGCTTCGGATCATAAATGTAACCCAAGAGTCAGTGCATTGTCATGTGTCAGTTTAATGAATTCGGTTAACTGGGGATTTGATATGACTAGATCAAATTGGCTTGCTAGTATGTCAATATTTGAGTCCGATTTCAAATTAAAAGATTTATTTAGAAATTTAACGATGTAGCTACTCGATAAAATCACAATCCGAAATGTAATCTAAATAATAAAGAACAGTTTTTTCATTTCACAATATGCTCATCAGTGATTCACCTTGACGTATATAACTCAAGCTGTTAATATTTTTCGAATATGGGCAGTTAACTGAAGAGAACAAACTACCAAAATTTACTGATCATTGAGTTACAAGTGTATCGCTCAACATGTTCTATTTCTCTATTTTTCCGTATCACAACTCACCTTCTAGTATCCTGACTGGACAGTTTCCAGCGGGATCTTTTGATTAATTACCACCCATATTATCACTGTTGAAACTGACTGTATCTGCAAATAATTTACAATTTGTTAGTTTTATTTGTTTCCAATTTAATTAACTTTTTTTTTCTAAAAATTTCGATTTCAGACTTTCTAATCGTTGTTTTTGTGGTCATTCAGTAATCTTTTTGATTTAAATACAATGCATATCACTCCATAAACCTTCCAGACCCTGATATTTAATTTTACGTTTAACGACATACAGTATGAGGTTTATACAGCTGATAATTGGCTGTGAACAATGTGTTTACTGTTTTTCCTGACTTTATTTATTCAGTATACTCTGAGGATAGGTAGTGTGTTCCGTGATATTTCAAAATGTTTTTAGAATCTGATGTATTTTCACAGCTTGGACAATATGAGTTATTTGAGAGACCATCCTTTCGTATCGCTCGAGATATTAGTGGACGGCAGACCAGGCAAACTGTATTTTATGCATGGGGAAGGTAATTATTGTTTTTTACTCATTCCTCTAGATCATGGTATTTGATTCTTCATCGTGAAACATCGTTTCATAATTCTAACTTGTCAGTCAGATTTATCAGTACAAATGGTACCTACTCTTTTTATCCGAAAACAAAATATGCAGAATTACATACTGGCTATGTATCAGGTTCAAACCAATCATTTGTGTTAGCTCATTTGGAACCATACACTTCACTACTTAGCGCTCATATTCATATGGAATCAGATATTTTTGTTATTGAGGTAAATTATAGTATATTAATTATTATTCTTAGCCATTGTCTGATTACACAAACTATATTGAAAATAATTCTATGTTAATGTATCGCCTAAGAGATATTCAATTTAAAAAGATACGAAAGTAAGTGTTTGATTTCCTTTCTCTGACTTGTTGTTAACTTCATTTTAGTAATTCGATGAATTATAAATCAGCCACTTTATTGGCCCTAGAAACTGATACATTTGGTTAGTTAGTGGTAGTTTAATTACACTTAAATATGATAAAAGAGTCTTTTTTAAAATATACACGCCACTTCATATATAAGCTAAATAATAGGCTATTTTTTAATTGACGAGTTATCTTACTGTGTAGAATTTTTTCATTAGGATCATGTTAGTGTATACTTTTAAATTTTTTTATGATATGATATTATGGGCTAGAACTAGGCCTAACACTCAGGATTTAATTAATTGGAGAATGAGCCACACACAAATTGACTTTATCCAATCGTTTATGTCATTTAATCATGTTATTTTCGTATGGATATTTTGTATATAGGCTCGCTTTTTTACTATATAAAAAACCTATTCTTCTGGATAATGGGCTTGTGTCTTTAAGCCTAACTGATTCGAGGTCTTACGTCGATAGTTTGATCTCTTAAACAGCTATCGCTCGGGCACTTTATCAATTCATGTCATCTATCAACCGACATCCTCTTTGATTTTAACAGTTGAAAATTCGTCCATAAAATCATAAAATCTTATGTCATAACGAGTAATTATATCATTTTTGCTCCCCAGTATGTCTGTATTTTGGTAAATATACCTTGCTGTCAGTCTCCACACCAGTTTTCACTTGAAAAGGATTTTTTAGCCTCTCCTCATATTTTATTCCCACTCTACACCTTCTTGTTCTCTATAGCAGTTTAAGAAAACCGTTCACTAGTGAAATGACTACAGCTTGGTGCTACAGGGGTATGACGCAATCAATAATTATTTGTTCTGCACAGTAATGAGTGTAGCCTATTTTTGTCCATGGAGTTGTGATAGTTGACCTAATAATTTACATAATTATCAATCTGGACTATCTTTCGCACTGTCATTATGTTGTTTTGCCTATGAAAAGTCGAACAGACGACACTTCGGTCAGACCAGTTCTGACCTATGTTCATGAAACGTGTCCTCTTCGAACTGAATATGGTTAACGATCCTGTCTCTTTATTTTATTTATTTATTTTAACACATAGATATTGGTACAAGGAGGCACCAAATACATATGCGCCACACAAATCTCATTCGATATGTGTGAGGACTGTGGTACTGCCCGGGTGCCCAAACCGAAGCAGGTGGTTTTCTTAGGGGGCCACTCCCCGAGCCTTCGACCTAAAGGTCTGATCCACAAAGCAGTGGAGCATCGTAAGGAGATGCAGTCCCATGGAAGCCGGTGACTAACAATTGGTTCATACGCCATTTGTTCCCACAGGATACTGGAGCCCATGTGCACCGTTGGTTTGGAATCCGGTTAAAGCGCCGGACATTCGCTTTTCGTCCTCTCATTTTCGTAAACAATACCCCCGCCACGAGAAGGCAGTGAGTAGGACTTCCCTGGCAGAGGCTATATACGCGTGGTCATGTGAAAGCATTTCGAGAGGGAGAGCAGACTCTCCCCACTCTCGGCCGTACCAGGGCATTTGGGGGCTATGGATTGTTAACATCCAGTGGCAACACCACGTAAGTAATGTTGAGGTCCAGTAGTATATTTGATTGCAGTCCAACTATCTTAAAGTATCGAGACTATCGGCTTGGGCATGCGTTACGAATGACATCCCAGGGACCTCCATGTCATGCATTATTTCCCGACGTTTGGAATGTGTGGGAGAAGAGCAGAAGTGGTAAGTTTATGATATGGTACCTTGGCATGAAAGCTAGTTATATAATACCGTGATCTGTCCGTCCATGACTTCCTAGTCCTGGAGATCATAAAAACCGGACTTGAGACATCATATATGTCTCAGAAAATAAACCCAGTAGCTATCATTCTGTTAGTTTCTGGAATTTATAGAATTAGAATAAACCCTTTTAAATGAAAGGACGTATCTCAGTTGTATTTTCAACTAAATTAAATCTTATTTTGTTAACCTTTGTTCGCATTCATATTTTCGTTAACTGTAAGGCTCTTTCCTTCTCTTTTCTTCACAACTTTAAACCGATGCATGTTTGTGACCTGTCGCAAGCTGTTTTCCTGTCAGTAGGTGTCACTTGTTCACGCAGTTAATTATATCATTACTGTAACTTTGTACCACTTCTCTTCGTTAGATTGTACCCAAAGGCGTTTACGCACAAACCCTATTTGTCAGAGTTACGAGCAGCTATTATTGATTAATAGTCGATGTAATATGGGGGTCATACTTGTCATAGATACCCATTCGGTACATATTAGCTGACATTACTTGTTTGATATTCACATTTTCTGTGGTGAATCCATTAAGGACAAGTGACTGCATAACTGTCTGTAAATTTGTGGGACAAAGGTAAGTTTTTAATTAAGTTACATAAATAGTTAATGTTCTTATCCATTTCAAACGTTTCTGTTGCACTAGACATTAGCTTATATCAGTCTTTATGCCAGATATGTTACACCTGACAGATATAATATGTATCTCAGGTCTTAGTTCCTGGAAAACTACATTTTATCAGTGTTGTTGCCAAATGCTATGCGTCTTTCTATTAGTGTTATGAAGAGTTGTTCATATACAGTAGATTGAAAATGAATTTTACGATCATTGAGTTTCAGTATCTGTTTATTTGCAATTTTCCGGTGAACCGATTTTCAATTTGTCTAATTCATTATTTTTTTGTAGTTTATTAATTGAGCTACCAATTTACTGTTCACCAAGTTCTGTTTCAATTTCCATTCTCTTTTTTTACAGATGTCTATATTAGACGAAAACGTTTCAACCCCATACAATTACAGCGCAAACTTTGTCGTCTTACACTCGTCGCTGATTACGATTTTTTCACTAATTTGGGAAATAGAAATGGACCTAAAACTATCAGTCATGTTGTTAGTTTTTTTTATTATTTGTTATAATGTTAATTTAATAATTTACATTCTTTTACTAAAGATTAAAGTATTTGACCGGTTAAATTATCTGTTTCTTACTTCAAAATTTTTGGATGATAAGCATGATGAAATGACTGGCTATGGCTTTTTATTACATGAGGTAAGTGTGTGCCAACTTTGATTACTACTATTACTATTATTATTATCACTATTGTTATTGCGATGTAATATTATCATTCCCCTATTTAACCTTAGTTGGTACTCTTTTCTCTCAACACTATAGATCGTAATCCATGAATCATGGACAGCTGATCACGGTCACTATAATTCACCAACTGATTTAGGTGGGAAAATCTGGACAGCTACATCCCTGTTGCGTGTAAGTTTTTGATAAATATTTATTTCGAGATATATTTCGTTGACATCATAGAGGTTCCTTTTATTTAATATTTATTGTGATAGAAGAGTATTACTACATAAGTAGACCACACGTTCATTTACGTATTTTCACATCAAAAATGAAATTGAACTCGACAAAATAGTCAGATAAAAGTCCATTTCTATAAGATTTAGTTTTCACGAAACAAATTTATCGTAAATTTGGTTTTCAAATGGCCACGACTACGCTTGACCAACTGAATAGTTAAGAACACGACTGACAGTGAAAGTCCTAAAACTCATGTAGTATATTTCCACTCAATATTATAATCTAAATTCAACTGGATGGTGCAATGAAATGGCGTCTCACTAGTTAATCTATATTTAATTAGTTGAGCTGTATATTAAGGTCAGAATAATATACAGTGACAGATTTCAGAGAAATATGCAAATCCTATATAATTTTTCTTCAGTTAAAAATTAAGAGAAGTCCCTTAGGAATCAAGCAATAAAACAATGCTGGTAAGTAGATGTTACCCATTTTGTTTCTCAGCTTATTATCCTTAATTACCAGAATTGAAGTATTATTATTATTATTACTATTATTATTGTTATTATTGTTATTATTATTATTATTATTATTATTATTATTATTTAAACACATAAACATTGTTACAGAGAAGCACCAAATATATGTGTCGCACACATTAGTTATCATTTAATTTGCGTGTGGGATTGGACATTACCCGGGCGCCCAAAACAAAGCAAGTGGTTTTCTCAAAGTGTCACTCCACAAGCCTTTGACATAAAGGTCTAATCTACAAGGCAGTAGAGCAACATTAGGAGATGTAGTCCCATGATAGCCAATGGTCAAGGTTAGGTTCATATACCATTTTTTCCTCAGGATCCTGTAATCCATGTACCCCATTAGTTTGGATTCAGGGCTTTCAAACTCTTCTAGATGGGTCTTCCTTATCCACCAACCCGGTTTGAGCGCCAGACATTCGCTTTTCTTCCTTTCAATTTCGTAAACAACACTCCTCCGCGGTGCCTAGAATCTCATATAGAGACACATGTTGGACCTGGTAAAATATTCTATTATTTTGAGTCATTACCTTTCCTGGAGGAAAACTCTAAAAAAACCTAAATAGTAATATCGTTTGCTTCCATATCAATGGTAGGTGAATGTATATCCACTTAATTGGTAATGATTGAGTATTATATGACAAAGATCTTTTTATTTTAATTTTGTGATTCTAACTCGAAATTTTGTAGCGATGTCTTTATGCTTCAGACCGCGAATTTAAGACCTCCTGGATGCTCACCATGTTTCGATGTGTTCGTCATAGGACTTTACCATTCGCACAACTGTTGTGCTGATGCTTAATCTCATCAATCAGTTTACTCTTCTTTTAAATTATTTCTAGTGGCTTGATGGTTTTAGTATTTGCAGATTACTCTTAGGAGATGTTGTAGAATGTGTAGTGTTAAATAACCTTTCAGTATACCCAAGTTTATACTTTAATCTTATCGGTGTTTAACGAAATACTTTATTTGCTTTACTCAAATTTCCCCTAGGCATTTAGTCGATTCGATACGAAACAGTCTTGTTTGGCTCATTTACTTAGCTACAAAAGAATAGATGAAGGCATTTTAGGGATGTCTTGGTTGGCCTCCCCGGATCCAAAGAAGTTAGGCGGTATTTGTTCCCCTCCTCGTAAGTCCTTAATTTTTTAGTTCTATTAATTAATGCATTCTTAACACGAAAATCGGTCACCTAAATCTCAACAGAATATCCGTTTAGGTATCTTGGGTTTTGATGATGAAATCTGCAACTCATATTCTTATCTGTTTTCAAGTGTCAATCATAAACAAAGTAGGACTTAGCGCATTTGTTCGTTTCAAATTGCTATACCGCACCAGCGGAGAGAGCTTAAATTATCAGTACGAATATCAGAGTAGTAGAAGTAGTAACATAATCAGTGATAATAGAAAACATTGGGGATAATTTATATAAATCAGGAAGAAAAATAGATGCGTAAGATAGATAATAAACGGTTATTTTGAAACTCAAGGTCTAAGAGACGACGAAAAGTAAATATATTTGCCCTAAAAGTGCTTCTTAACAAATGGTAGAGTTCAAACATAACTTGTTGACAATATGATGATATTTTATTGTTTGCACTCTACAATCAATTGCTGTAAAGAATATCCATCACAATCTATTGCAAATAATCTCCTTCTTTATTTAATTTTGTCATAGATGCTTTCTTCTAAATAACACTTTCCTCACCTAACTTTTCAGGGGTTGATCTATTATCAGGAAGTTCTCGCATAGACTTGAAATATGCAGGCGATATAGTCCCATTCATTAAATAAAATGATATTGACCAACTTAAGCAACAAAGAAAACATGCTTAGGGTGCGTTTCTTTCCCATTAAATGAAAAAGTTTGCTTCAAGATTGGTCTGCGTAGATGCCTGTGGTAATAAGAGGGAGTGAAGTAGTTGAGTGCGTCTATCACTTCACTTATCTTGGGAGTTTGATCAACCCTGGCGGGTTGGTGCCTAATAAAATGTCGGCACCGATGCGAAAGAGTTGTCTGGTTCTTGCCAACTTGCGTCAGATGTGACGTAGGCAAGATATTGGTCTACCAGCTAAAGTACGGTTTTGATGCACAGTAGTTTACTCCGTTCTGTTTTGCGATTACGAAATGTGGCCTTTAAAATTTGAGGATATTATTTGGTTACTAGTGTTTGACTACAAATATCTTCGAAGCATTTCTCTTATATGTTGGGACCGTCGGATTATCAATTCTGAGGTTAGATGCAGAGTGTTTCGGAGGAATAGCAAATCGATTGATGAGATAGTGAATCTTTATCAACTGTAATTGAAACATCTCTGTAACCGAATTCTGACTACGCACTACCGTAAACCCCTAATGAATTGAGATTAACAATGAGAACAATAGTCAATGAACCAACCTTTTATCTAATAAAATAATATACTTGTATACTAAATATTAGCACGAAAATAAATGACAAAGCGATTAAAAGTTATCAGCTTTTTAGATCACTTTGTTTACAACAAATTAATGCCTAACTGTCAGGTCATTATATTATGGTTGATCGTCCCTAATTGGTGAGGCATTATAGGTTTTGCCGTAGAAAACGTGTTTTAAATGTTTTCACAATCAATCTCAATAGATAATTAGAACAACGGTATAATGCTGAAGTAGTAAGCAAAAGGTAGTATCAGAATGAATGAATTATTTTACGAAATACCGAGAGAGTACCATCTGTAGGTTGGTTTAGTAATAATATTATAATTCTAACTCGCCTATAAACCAGATTTTAATTCATTTAGCTTTTTTTGTGGCTTACTAAATAGTGTTTGGCTCTCTAAATTAAAGTAAAATGTGACTCTAACTTGTTGGTTAATATTTGAGTGCTTTAACAACTAATGCGCCACTCTACATTATCAGGAATTTTGTTTTGTAGGGTTATTAATCATTTGCCAACATACCATAAAGACAACTAAACTATATAAAGAATTTTATTGTACCATATTCTGTTTCTCTCTCTCTCTCTCACTATATATATATATATGTATATATATATATATATATATATATATATATATATATATATATATATATATATATATATATGTACCTGCTTGGACTCCGACCATGCCCTGACACGGGCACTCATCTGCTTGCACCTCAATGGACGCAAAAAAGCCTCAGTAAAAAGACTCATTAGAACTGAATTGAGTAGCGAGAAAACGAAAAGTAGGTTCCAGGAACAACTGAGGTCACAATTAGGTAGTTCTGAAAACGAGGTTGACCCAGATGTTGCTTGGAAAGCTACACAAACAGCAGTGACATCTATCAGTGATTTAAACCACAGGGTTACAAAGAACCAATAGATTTCCTCTAGGTCTATTGCACTGATGGATTCTCGTAAACTCATTCTATCAGGCTCTGAACACGATGAAGAGCGACAACAAATCAGATCTAGGTTAAGCAAAAGTCTAAGGAACCACCGTGAGCAGTGGTGGGCAACGAAAGCAAAAGAGATGGAAAAGGCGGCGACTATAGGGAACACAAGACAGCTCTACAGACTAATAAAAGAAACTGGAATTAATAAGTCAAGTGTAAGTGAGATTATTTCGGAAAAAGACGACACCCTCATCTGCTCTCAGTCCAGACGTTTAGAACGATGGGCGGGACATTTTAGAGAACAGTTCAGCTGGCCTTCAGATGGATTGGCTCCAGAGGTCGTTAAGCATGGTGGTCCAGTTTTAGCGATTAGGTTGACCAATATTTTAGCTGAAATCTGGGAACTGAATGTAATCCCATCTGACTGGTCGAAATCACTGATCGTCCCAATATATATATATATATATATATATATATATATATATATATATATATATATATATATATATATATATATATATATATAAAGGATCAAAATTATCCTGTGATAACCATAGAGGGATTAGTTTAACTAATATAGTATCTAAAATACTAGCCTCTATAATTATCGGGCGCCTAACTAAGACTCGTGAACTGCAAACACGAGAAAATCAGGCTGGCTTCAGAACTAGCCGTGGCTGCATCGACCACACATTCACCATTCGTCAGGTTCTAGAACATAGGCATACTTATCGGCGTCCGACAATGATGGTCTTTCTTGACTTAAAAGCAGCATTTGACTCGGTAGACCGCGAGATTCTGTGGTAGTGTCTGTCATTGAAAGGCGTACCTCAGAAGTACATAAACCTTGTGAAGGCTCTTTACTCGAACACTACCAGTCGAGTTAGAGCTTATGGCGAACTGTCATCTACTTTTGCAACCTCAAGTGGTGTCCGTCAAGGCTGTCCACTTTAACTTCATCATAGATCTACTGATGGAAATAACATTCTCGTCTACTGAATTCTCGGGCATTGATCTCTATCCGGGAGGTCCACTTATCGACTTAGAATACGCAGATGACATAGTCCTGTTTGGTGAAGACGCTGATAAAATGCAGTCTTTTGATAGCATTAGGCAACAATACCAGGATGTTCGGAATGCGCTTCTCTTCCTCTAAATGCAAGTTGTTGCTTGAGAACTCGCTCGTGCTAACACCTGAAGTAAGGATAGGGAGTGAAGTAGTCAAGCGCGTCGGTAACTTCACTTATTTTGGGGATCTGATCAGCCCTAATGGGTTGGTGTCTGAGGAAATCTTATCACGGATTCAGAAAGCTCGTTTGGCGTTTGCCAACTTAAATCACCTATGGTGAAGGCGAGATATCTGTCTATCAATTAACGGACAAGTATACTGCCCGGCAGTTCGTTCTGTTTTACTTTACGGCTGCGAAACGTGGCCATTAAGAGTAGAAGACACTCGTAAGTTACTAGTCTTTGATCACATATGTCTTATAAATGTTGCTCGCATCTGGTGGGATCATCGGGTAAGTAATAGTGAGGTTAGACACAGGGTATTAAGGAATGATGATAAATCAGTTGATGAGGTTGTGAATCTTCATCGACTGAGATGGTTGGGCCACGTGTTACGTATGCCTGAACACCGGTTACCACGACGTGAAATGCTAACCGGGGTTGGAAGGAAGTTAGGGGTGGCCAAATCAAAACGTGGCATCATTCCTTGAAGTCAGTGACTTCTGGTCTGAGCTATGTTGGTAGATGCAGACTGCTTGGTTAGGGTCCACGCGACTATCGTAACCAATGTTTGGGGACTCTGGGTGATATGGGTCGGAATCGATCACGATGGAGTAGGTGTATACACTCTTTGTCTTCCCTTAAACCGAGAGATTAAAATTACTTCATACCTGTAATATGTCCTTATATACAATATTTCTTTTATATATTACTAACATAAAAGTAACTGCTTCTACGAATTTGGTGTTCATGTTGTTATGCTAATGAGGCATGGCAACGTAGACCGATGCATATATGTTCCTGGTCTGACGTTGTAGCTGACTGATTCAGATTCACGTGTCCTTTTTTAGGCTTCGGATCATAAATGTAACCCAAGAGTCAGTGCATTGTCATGTGTCAGTTTAATGAATTCGGTTAACTGGGGATTTGATATGACTAGATCAAATTGGCTTGCTAGTATGTCAATATTTGAGTCCGATTTCAAATTAAAAGATTTATTTAGAAATTTAACGATGTAGCTACTCGATAAAATCACAATCCGAAATGTAATCTAAATAATAAAGAACAGTTTTTTCATTTCACAATATGCTCATCAGTGATTCACCTTGACGTATATAACTCAAGCTGTTAATATTTTTCGAATATGGGCAGTTAACTGAAGAGAACAAACTACCAAAATTTACTGATCATTGAGTTACAAGTGTATCGCTCAACATGTTCTATTTCTCTATTTTTCCGTATCACAACTCACCTAGTATCCTGACTGGACAGTTTCCAGCGGGATCTTTTGTATTATAGTGTTAATGACACTTCTGTTTAATGAGCCAAGTTATTTGAGTTTTAGTCACAGTCAACAGTTTTTCATGTTGCCAAGTACTGTCACTAGTCGTTACAATAAAGTACACAGAATTATACGTGGTTACTAAATTATACATATTTCTACCATTTAAAAAATGTATATATTTCTTTTTTTGCCAAATTAGTTCGTCGAAATAATAAAAAGGATCTCTATTTAAATACAGGATGGACTACTTATGTAGATTATAATGGTCAACAACTAGTTAACGCTTTGGCTGAATTGATCACGGCTCATGAATTAGGACATAGTTGGGGCGCAGATCATGATCCTGACACAGATGAATGCAATCCTGCAGCTATAAGTTCTGGAAAATATTTAATGTATACCTATTCAGTTTCAGGTTACGCTGAAAATAATGGAGTTAGTTGCATTAGTTTTTAATTTGTTCATGTATCATCTCATCGTATTCAATCAGTAGGTAGTAACCATAATTTAAAACTGTTATTTCCCGAAATCTCTTATATGAAAGATATTTTCCTTGGATAATTGCATGATATAAAGGAAATCTCGACTGGTGGTACTAAAAATAACTTAAGGACATGCACTATATTAAAAAAGTAACCTATTAATTAGAGTTTTTATCCACTTAACCATTAAAGTTATTTACTTAAACCTTGGTGGCCAAAATGGTATTTGCATATTTGCTAGTAACACGACATTCACATGCTCCGTTGGTATGAATAATTATTTTCCAATTATGGCGGAATGAACGTTTGTGAGACTACAATAATTCAACATATGATGTACAGTTGTTTAAATTACATGCAATCTTACATCGCTCTTAAATCCTTGAGATCTGCATATTTCCAATATTTTTGAAATGTGATAATTTCTTTTATGACTAATCATCAGTCTTCATTACTGAAGTGAAATCACCCAATTGTCTAAAGTAACTTTTAGCGCTCAAATGAATTCAGGTCTGGTTACAGTAATTAATTCCTGTCACTGACCTTCCGTGGATTTATATTATCATATCATATGGTGCCCATTATTGGAATTAGAAGTTTGCGTTTGAAATTATTGGTATGAAATTTTACATAGTCTTATTAATTGGTCTTTTCCAACGTATTAAATCTGCCTCTTTCAGATGTGAAATTTTCGGATACAAAATGCCAAAAAAGTTTTTCTAAGAAAATTATTACACTGACAATCTGAAGATTAACGATGAAGTAGATTCCTCATGATAGAGTACCATTTCTCAACATCAATCGAGAAAAAGTCACGTGTTATTCTCTTTGTTAATAGTTTTCCTTGATAGATATCATGGTTCGATTCTTTCCAGGCGTGAATATGTAATATCTAATTTACCAATTATGTTTTTTTCCACCGAATACAGAATTGATTTCTAATTGTTTTATATTGTTTGTAATAATGAGCACAAGTAATTAATCGCATCTGAATGTCAATAGTAATCATATACTCATATTTCCAAGTGGATGTGTCTTCATATGAGATTCTAGGCACCGCGGAGGAGTGTTGTTTACGAAATTGAAAGGAAGAAAAGCGAATGTCTGGCGCTCAAACCGGGTTGGTGGATAAGGAAGACCCATCTAGAAGAGTTTGAAAGCCCTGAATCCAAACTAATGGGGTACATGGATTACAGGATCCTGAGGAAAAAATGGTATATGAACCTAACCTTGACCATTGGCTATCATGGGACTACATCTCCTAATGTTGCTCTACTGCCTTGTAGATTAGACCTTTATGTCAAAGGCTTGTGGAGTGACACTTTGAGAAAACCACTTGCTTTGTTTTGGGCGCCCGGGTAATGTCCAATCCCACACGCAAATTAAATGATAACTAATGTGTGCGACACATATATTTGGTGCTTCTCTGTAACAATGTTTATGTGTTTAAAGAAATAATTAATCAATTAATAATGGAAGAGACTAGTAATGCACTTGTCAAATGTTTCCTTATCAAGGTATTTTAGACTTACTTGATGACGGTTTATGAATATCACTACCAATCTCATACTTATTTCTTTAGAAATTTTCACCATGTAGTTTACGGACAATTGGCGCTTGTTTGGTTACTCGTGCTCCATTATGTTTCGAAGATTCATCTGCGGCTCTTTCAAATCTTTGTGGTAACAGTCGTATTGATGAGGGTGAAGAATGTGATGCTGGTCGAAATCCACATGATCCTTGTTGTAGTTCTGAGTGTTTTTTTAGAACAGGTGCTCACTGTTCACCTTGGAATCATGGTTGTTGTACTTCTGGTTAGTTTTTGTTTCGAAAGCCTATTTGTTACGTTGAATTCAGATTAATTATTGTTGTTCACAATGATTCTACTTGTAATATCATTCCTGTAACAGATAAACTGAAGTTCATTAATCGCATATAGATTTAAAGTATTAGATTGTATTAGGGTAATTAATAAGTGATGAGTATTGCGTTTATCGATACTCATTGACAGTCATAAAGTCTAGTATTTCATAAGAGATTCAAATCTATCTGTTTATTAGCTTAGTTGTTAAGTCACACTTGACGTTCAGTCATTGGGTTGTGGTATTCGTATAGTTCTTTCATCTACTTAAACTTGAAGAACACGGTGTTTTTTCTTTTCTTGAGTACTTGTAAACTGCTCCTCGTAAATAGATCCGTTATTTAATATTCCTACTACCTTTCTTTATACAGATTGTCAGTTAGCACCAAAGGATACCATTTGCGCACAAACTAGCAGTACTAATCCTTGTTTAGGACCTGGTCAGTGTAATGGTTTATCATCTATTTGTCCAGGTCCAACACTTTTATCCGGTGGTCAATGTGATGAATATGGGCGATGTTTTCAGGGTAAATGTCATCCGTTTTGTTCTAGTCTTGGACTGGAAACTTGTATCTGTGATTCAGGTAGGTTGGATGCACTTATTATAAAGAAATCGCTTGCATCATTGATAAAAAATAAGAACTGTTCAGCAGTGAAGCTATACAACCGTGTCTCAAGTTGTCTGACGTTTATAGTTGTTTATTAAGAAGTAGTGTAAAATTGTGTTATAAAGCATTCGGATTTATTGAATATTAAAAGTAGTTTAGATAGTAACCTAAAGATAAGTAAAATATAGTAAGATAAGGTTGACAGATGAGATATCATTGTGAAATTCAATCAACAAGTTACAGAAGCCTCTTTAGTGCATAGGTTTCTAATTTATAACCAATTCGTTTGACCATATGAATGAATGTAGATTCTGGTAAGAGAACGTGATTAGAGCTTTACGAGATTTTCCAGAGTTAGTCTATTGATCGACCTGGATAATCGTTTTGAGTCGGCCAGGGTAATGGTCAGAGATTCGTTTCTTTAGTGTTCGCTTTGTGAGGCCAGTGTAACCTGTTTCACAAGAGCAAGTATATGGCCCTAGCTTACGTAATCACTTTGTGCCATAGTTCAGTCTCTTTGCTGATTGTATTTTCATAAAAGATTCATGATCTTGAAGTGAAATTTCAGGACTCCACTAGATATAACGAATTTTTTACTATTATATAGAGTATAGATCTGAAAAGATTCATGTCCAGTAGAAAAATTCATTAGTCCATTACAAAGTCCGATCCTTATTCAAAATTAGACGACTGATTTTTATATACTCTAATTGCGTCACTATGGAACTCGACAATAATGTACTGATTAATATACATAAATAGATCAATATAAATTTAAACAACGTAATAAATAATGAATTTAGATTGTACTGACTACTTACGTTTATAATTCAGTAGAATAAATTTTCAAATATAAAAGTATCACTGTTTCTTTCCATTCTCTCTTTGTAAATAGTTGAAGAATCCTGCTTTATTTGCTGTTTATTTCCAACATCAAATTCAACCACAAATCAAAGCACCATATGCCTCCCTGTTACATTGTCCCAAAACGAATATCTATTACATTCTAAACAGAATACTGTAAAACATTCAGAATCTTATAAATCCTATTCAATGATTTATCATTCAAGACGATCAACTCTGTATTCTATGCATAAGTTTTTACTATCCTCGTCTAACATATTACGGTTGTATGATAAACACTCACCAAATGATACTTATCGTTCTGTTGCTGATAATAAAACTCAAAAACTAGCTACAACTGATTTTAACAATATTAATTCATACTATCATAAACAACCTTTAGTACACATTCATTTGCAAGATTATCGGCCATGTCTTAATGGTTATTGTATGGCGGGAAAATGTATAGAATCGAAAAGTAAGCGGATATTACGATTTTGGACACCAGTTCATTATTCTAAACACAAGAATCTCGGTAGGTATCATTTTTTATTAACATGTATATTCAGCGATTTTTTATTGAAGTTCGTCTTGTTCTCATCACTGAATATAATTCTTATTATTGAGAAGAGAATTTTCTAATTTGTGTATGTGTATATTCATTTAAATATTTATTATCTTTAATGAATTAACCCATCGATATTTGAAAGTCTTTGTGTATTTGACAGTGTTATATATATTTCATTGAAATTATGAACCGATCAAAGTTGGACAACCATCTAAATCTTTGGAGCACTGTAAACCCGTTTCGTCCTAGTGTGAGACTTCTCAGCAGTGCCCATCCACGATTTTGTAGGCGGGAAACAAACCCAGGAATTGAAGTCTTGCACACATAAGCTTAACCATTCTCTCTATACGAATACACAGTTATCAATTATTATACATATACATATAATCATTAAAAGCATTAATGAATCTCCTAACAACCTCTCCACATTATAAAATTGATCTTGTGGTTCAAAGATTATTGGGTTGTGAGATAAAGAATCTTGTTACTATTACCGACATATTTGGGTAGTTGACTTCAAGCCATCCTCTTATTGTGAAAACTAGTGATAATATCCGGAACCTGGTGTATTGGGATTCGGGCCTGCGACTTAGCGACTGAAGATCGAATGCCTGAACCATCGCCCAGCAATCATGTATATACATACTGGGATGTCAATTATAAAATACTGGGGGTTAATGGTAATACCTACTTTTCTATAGCTCATTAGGTACATCAAGTTTCAAATTTGTACCTCACTAACTGCAAGTTAGATGTATGGTAAATCAATGAGTCATAATTTAATTAGATAAATAGAGAAATACGCGGATGTTATTTTATTTTCAGTTATCAAATAAATGAATTTCATGTCATAAACATTTAAGTTACTTCTAATTATACATTTTACATTGGTAGAACGTCCGTTTGTTTAATCATATTTTCAATAAACAGTCATTATATCTTTAAAAATTGAGTTCATGTTTTTGAACTTTATAATGTATTACACTTTCCAAACTATGAAATCCATATGTATCACATCATAGCTTATTTCTTAAACATTAAATCACCACCTGTTCTGATTACCACTATTTCCAAAAAAATATAAAAAACAGATATTTCGACAGAACAATAAGAAGACGAAGTTGATCAGATCAACTCCGTCTTCTTATTGTTCTATCGAAATTTATAAAAGGGACTAATTGCTTTAAAACAGATATTATTTAAAAATTCCATACTCTACTGAATTTGCTTTCCTGTTCCTTTCTTTAAATAAACTCTTGTTTTAAAAATATATTCATTTCATCGTTGATTGTTTTTTTTTTAATAAAACAATAGGCACCATTGCTTGGGACAATCTGGTATTTTTCGCAGTCTTCTTATCACTTATCGTATGGATACCATTGAGTGCATGTGTTGCTTACTTAGTAAGTTTTTGAGATTTGATACGCATCAAATACGTTGTTGTTCAATGTGTTTTACCCCTTCAGTATTCTGAAGTTTATGTTAAAGTATTCATTTCAAAGAAATTTTGTTGTTTTATCATTTCCCATTAGTAGTATCTGTAAAAAAACAATGAAAACACTAGGATGTAGAAAAAGATCTAGGATTGATTGAAAGTTAACGAACGTTAACTCAGTGACTAAAACACATGACAAGTAACCACACTTATTATTATTATTATTAATGGCTTCATTTAAGTCAATTTTATCACTGTGATCTATCTATTAGTGTTCAGGGGTATCATCTTACAGTGAACATCCGGAATTCTATTCCCTTCTCTATGTATTAATTTGGGTCATTAGTTCTCGAAATATCTGAAATGCATGTAGAAACATTAGACTTATCACCATGTATTTAAAAATCCAACACTTGTCAATAATTTGACCTAAGCTTCAGCCATCAATCTTTGTCACATTTGACATTTTGAAATGTTCATCTATGGTTGACAACTGTGAGATACACAACTAATTCATTTGTCAAAGTTTACTATTCACTTTTATATGTATACTCATAAAAAGCTTATTACATCAATGTCGATTGTGTTTAAAAAGATTTCCAAGTAATGAGGTTATTATGAGAATGTTCATTTGCACTGGAGTTTGTTGTTATCAGTTTGAGCATTATAGAAAAGCGTTATCATGTTGAAACAAGATCTTTTTAATGATTAGACTATGTATATATTTATATTTAATGGCAAAATGTTTTTATTTTGCAGAATAGGTATCATGAACGAAATCGTTAATTACTAATTAAAAAGTTATGAATCGACGAGCCACATATTCTGTCAATCATATGAGAAACAATATTTACCTTCAAGCAGCATTTTTAGTGATTCACATATTTTCCACATATAAATATTTTAAAAGTATACAACATTATTATAATCTATTGAACTTTCTCTCGATCAGTTTCCATCTTGTTTATGATATAATTTGTTATTGTGTCCCCATTCAATCCAACCTTTTATCATACTTTGTATACATAATCTTCCCAATTGTGTTTTCTTGTTTTCAAATGTATAAAAACTGTAGTATGTATATGTAAAATCTGTTTTTCTTTATTCTTCTTGTGTGTGTAATTTTTACTGAAGTTTCTCTTTTTTTAAACTTAATTTCTTAGCAGTCAGATTTTTAAGTTCAGTCGCGTGAAAAGTGAGGTAAATACCGTTGAGTTGTTTGTTTTTCGTTTTCTCTTTAATATTTCATCCACTTTATGCATTATGTATCAATTTGTTCAATGTCAAATTTTATTTTTTATATCAAAACTTTGAACATTTTTCCTCTAATTTACGTTTAATTCTAACTTGTTTTGTATTATGATTTGTATGAGTTTGAGTTTAAGGTAAGAATACAACGAGAGATACTTTTAATATGAAAGCGGATGTAATACGACTAAATAGGTATGTCAGATCGTGAATACATTCAATAAAAGTTTTTAACGATAACAACTTACATTCGAGTAAGAATAGATGTGATACATTTCAGGAAAGTTTTCATTCCTCAAGAAATGTCATTAAGATAAATAAACATAGCAGAGTATATATATATATATATATAGTTTTTTATTTTTTCCTAACCTATAAACTAAGGTATGAATTACATGTGATTGTCAAGTTGAAGAAGTTATGATAATATTGACAAGTGAGAAAAACTAACATAAGAATTATTATTTTGTCAACATCAACAGGTTACTATATTACACTGTCATTATTCATTTTTAGCGTATTTATTTATTTATTTGAACACATAAATATTGGTACAAGGGGGCACCAAATATATGTGCGCCACAAAATAACATTGAGAATGGGAAGACAAAAAGGATATGAAGTGCGTATAAGAGAGAAGAAAAAACAGAGAACAATAACGACCACAGATTAGTGTATGGTAGTGTAATGATAATAATAATAATGGGGGAAACAAAAAGGTACAGCCAGAAATAATTCTTTCAATTAAGGAAATTACAACAACGTTTTGTGGAGAAAATAAACGAAGGTTACAACAGGATCGCCACTGGCTTCTATTTTGAGCCATATCTGACAACGTCTCTAGCCACTGTGTAGCACCATCTCTCGGACCCCAACCAGGGAGTCATGAAGGACCAACAGAAGCCAGTCCTTTGCAGCTTTCTTTCATGCCACGACACCATGTCATACACTGACCACCTCTCCGCTTTTTCCAACCAGTCCAGAGTCGGCAAATAATGCACGACGTGGAATTCTCTGGGACGACATTCGTAGAACATGTCCAAGTCACCGAAGTCGGTGTTTCAAGATGGTGACACCAATTGAATTATCATCTCTGTGCCCGAACACACGATGCCGAACCTCTGCATTACTGACATGGTGTTGCCACTGGATGTCAGCAATCCTTCGGAGACAACGATGATCGAACACAGAGAGTCGTCTAACGTCCTCAACTCGGAGAGGCCAGGTTTCACAAGCATAGAGCAAAACTGCTCTCACCGACGCGTTGTAGATCCGACCTTTTACGGCCAGACTAACATCACGAAGGCGCCATAGATGGCCCAGATTGGCATAAGCCGCTCTGGCTTTCACTATACGTGCATTGATCTCATCACTCACATCCCCACCAGCACTTATGCAGCTACCCAGATACACGAACTTCTCGATTACTTCTATCTGCTCACCATTCAGGGTGAGTACAGGATTGGAATCCTGCCAATCTTGTAGAGGTACTTTGCACTTCGAAGGTGCAAAGCATATACTATACCTACGGACACTGATTGCCAACTGATTAAGTGCGTACTGCATGCCTTGGGCATTATCGCACAGTAAGACAATATCGTCCGCATACTGAAGGTCGAAAAGTCGTTCTCTAGGCAACAGATCCACACCACCATTATTTACATCCTCGTGAGTCAACCATTCTCGGGTTTTAAACAACCTACCAAGTATTAAAGAAGCCAATAGCTTGGACGCAATCGGAAGTAGACTTATCCCCCGATAGTTGTTACAGGGACGACGTGAACCCATTTTAAAGATAAGGACAACTATCGACTTGAGATGCAGAGGGAGGACGCCAGGTGGCTCATCGGCGGTGACTGTTTCGAAAGTTAGTGCTAGCCAGAAACAGGTTGTGGTCTGTGCACAGTTGCAGTAGACGGTCCCCGTTATCTGTCCTGCGACCAACAAGTCCACATCAGTCACCTAGACGACTATCTTCTGTGTCTAGACGCCCAACCTGAGCATTCAAGTCTCCGGGTAGTACTACAATATCTGTCGAACGCACTTTCTGGAGCGGAACAGATAACTGGTGGTAGAATTCATCCTTGATTGCATCCGGGCTGCAATCTGTCGGAGCATAGGCGGAGATGACGAAAAGACATCGTTTCTCACGCCAATTTCTCACTTTGATGGAACTTTCTAATCTAACAGCACATAACCGACTGTTAATGGGGATCCAATTGATTAGTGCTGCCTCAGCTCTAGGGCTTAGTGCGACACCAACGCCAGCAAGACCAGACGATGCCACAGGGTCCCCGAATAAGCGCATGTAAAACAAGCTTTTTGAAGTGACAGATGGAGAGCGAATTTTTAGTACTTCACTAGAGTCTTGAATACGGGTCTCGGATAGACAGCAGACATCGATATGAAGACTTTCCAAAGACATAGCCAGCCCTATCTGTTGTCTGATCTACATAAGTGTGCGAACGTTGAAGGCAGCCAGTTTGAATGGTGCATATGGTTTCAGAAAAACTGTTTGAGTATTCGTATTTGGTGGTAGCATACAATTTTCAACCAGACAGTGACTCGAGATCGTTTAGATAGAACAGAATTTCTACTATATGCGAGCTGTTGTATAAGTTTAAAAGTAAGAATGCAAGAGGGTAGATAAGTGACGTAGTACATAAAAGCTAAAAATATAAGTGGATGTTATCAAATGGGTATGGGTTGTTTGGATTGCAATATGAGTGAGAGTAGTATATTAAATAATCGTTGTCATTTTAATTGTGTGAGTGCTATAATGGTGCCTGGGTGCCCAGACCGACGCCGGTGGTTTTCTTAGGGGGCCACATCCCGAGCCTTTGACCCAAAGGTCTGATCCATAAGGTAATAGAGCATCGTGAGATGCAGTCCCATGATAGCCGGTGACCAACTATTGGTTCATACGCCATTTGTTCCCGCAGTATACTGGAGCCCATGTGCACCATTGGTTTGAAATCAGGGTTTCCCAAATCCCCTAGGTGGACTCTCCGTGTCCACGTGCCCGGTTGAAGTGCAGGACATTCGATTTTCATCCTCTCAATTTCGAAAACAACAATAATGCAGTGAGTAGGACTTCCCTGGCAGAGGCTGTGTCCGCGTGGCTGTTCGAGAGAGGGGCGGGCCCTCTCCACTCGGCCGTACCAGGGCATTCGGGGGCCCGTATTGTTATTCAAAGGGATGATCCGAATACCTCCCCACTGACAAGAACTACGCGTCCGAGCGAGCTCGATTAGGGATCGTAGCGGGCTTCAGCTCGCCGTAGTGCGGTGGCGATCCTTCACCTGGGGCCAGGGCATTAGTGATCATCCTGGTCCCGGCGTATCTTACAATTTCAATCCTGTAGTTGTACTGTTGATGTGCAGAATCACATCTGGATGTCATTAGTGAAAACGCTGT